ACTAGATATGCAGTAGTCTTATATATATAAACCGTTAAGAACTGACGGCAAGGTAATGTAATGTGTAATTGAACTGCTGACAGAGTATTGTTGAGTCGAGCACGTGAGACGTTCGTTGTGAATTATAGCGTTTGTTATAGCGCGACTATGGAAATTGAGTGTATTGCAAAGTTGTATTCAGAAAGAATAAACCAGTTTTATTTAAGAAAGGACTTGTGTCGCTAAAGTTTTGTCGGAACGAATTTACGGAAAATTAACTAACGAACGGAGACGTAACAATACGATATACACAAGCCATGTGTAAATATATTTAAATAGGCATGCATAGATTAGTTAAACTGAATGTGTTGTTTATAAAAATAGTATTTTTTTTCTTTTTTAAAAACATAACTACTTATAATTCTCCATAAATAATAAAAGAATAAATTACAGTGAAAGCAATGAAGATTTTGTAGGTTTTGAACCAAACTAAATAACAGTAAACCTTTTTTTGATTTACGGTATTTTCTTATGTTGATGTTTTGAGCTCTTTTGTGTTTAGAACAATATATACTTATTCTTAAAGTATCAAACTGAATTTGTATTCAATAAAAATCTTTCAAATGCGACTGTAGCTTTTTTCCCCCCCAAAACTTTGTCTTCAAAATACGGTCTTATATTCCGATAAATACGGTATGTGTATCAGTGTTGTTTCCTGTGACTTCTCACTCTATTCTGAGAATTCTCCTCATCACACTTTCAAACAAGATTCATAATATCAGCCAACCCAGCAGATGAAAATCACAAAAAAATTAACTGTAATATGCTCCAGGTAACTTTAAATCAGCAGTGCAATTGTCCTGTGAAACATTTTGCTCAAGGTAGGAGGTTTGTTAATAAACCCATTGCAGTTTGCTGAACGCACTACACTCACGTGGTCTGTGAGCACAACAAACACAGCTATACATCATCATAGGAAACAACCTGAGATAAATATTAAAGATGCGAATGAAATCAGATTCTTTTGTATATGCAATGTTAAAAGATGCTACAAAAACCAAGTCAAATTGATTTATATGCTGCTTACAAATACAAACTTAGTTTTAACTCTTCCTTCTAGATCACAGCTAATCACAGAAGTATTGGAAATTGTATTGTAAAGGACCCGAGGCCTTGCTCTTGTTAGAAATCTTGGCTTTACAAAGACAATCTGTGTGCTGGAACCAAGTTCTAACAGTCCATCTAGAATGTATTTCAGTAAAATATTGGTACCAAACATGTATGCTGCGACTAAATCAAATGTACTGAAGCAATTAAAAACAGCTTCAGCCTTGATTATAACTACTGATGTATGGAGTTCAAGAGCAGTAGGAAGTTACATCACAATAACAGCTTACTACATAAAAGATGATTGGAAAATGGCAAACCCTGTTCTACAGACACAAACTATGTACAATTCTCATACTGGAGTAAATGCTGATCAAATGTTTACTCATGCTATAAATGAATGAAACTAAATCATTTTAATGGCTGTGTACTGTGGTAACTGACAATTCAAATAATAAAAGTAGAGCTGTGAAAGAATCTGGCTTGGACCACATGTGGGCTGCTTTGTTCATACATTGAATTTAGCTATTCAGACAGGACTTGAAGTGAACCAGATGTTAGATTATTAGGCAAAGTAAAATTGTTGCATATTTTCACTAGAGTAGTACTGCTGCTTACATGCTCTAATCAAAACAAAGACTATGGAAATTTCTGAACATTGTCTTATAATGTATGTCAAAATTAAGTGAAATAGTAGCTATGATGAAAACTACTTGAACAACAGACTGCTGTAACAGCTGCCCTTATGACACTAGAAGTGAGAAAGCATGCAAAAAATTTTGTGCCTTTGTCAGACAAAGCTATTTGTAATATGGAGAATATTGGGGCAGTTTTGGAGCTAATGCAGAAAATCACTAAAGTACTGTGTGATGTTCCACTACCTCACTTATCTACCTAATGAAATATTGAATTTTGTAGATAATGCAAGTAAAGAAAACTGATGCTTCACTTGTCAAAGCTATGTAAGAACTGACATTAAAAATTTCTTGCTTGAAGCAGCAGCCCTAGATTCAAGGCACTACCACAACTACGTGAAGATAAGCATCACCATACTCACCTGGCAGTAATGTTGAAATCTCTCAGTGTTTCAACTTCAAGCAAAACTGTTATCAAGAAAGAACCAGAAAGCAAACCTCAACCTGATCAGCCTGAACTACCAGTATCTCAGTCTAATGACAATGCTACTACTGATCCCACAACTACAAATGATAATACTCAGAATACAACAGTAACAGAAGATATATGTATCGTGATGTGTTTGCCACAAAAATTGAAAAGCCAAAAACCTTTCATATGAGGACAGAAGAGGAGCTTCACACTTTAAAAGTAGAACTGAGTGTTAATTTAAGTTCTAACCTCCTGGAATGGTGGTGTCATAATAAAAATAAATATCTCATCTTAACAAAAGCTGCTAAGTATTATCTTGGCATTCCTATGACAGGTGTACCTAGTGAACATGTGTTCTCCACAGCTGGGGACACTGTTACAGTTCAGAGATTAGCTTTGACACCAGAATATGTTGACATGCTTATCTTTATTAAAAAACTCAGAGTGATTGTGTTAAGACCGTTACTCAGTAAAATATGCCATTTTTATTAACAGCTCATTGATACCGATCTATGGTTCAGTAATTACTATTAGTAATCAGTAATTCTGTAAACTGTTCTTAAAGTTTTTATACATAAAAAAAAGTATTACAAACTATTCTCTTTAAAATATATGACTGTGATGTTGCTCTGTTAGAAATATTAATCACTTTTTCTAGAATTTGATAGACATGTACATCACTATTAGTGTTTGGTATTGGTATGAACATATAAGGATACATATCATGAGCCACTTACTGAGATACCTATCATATCATGACCCAACTGTATTGTTTCATCCCTACTAAACATAGGTCTAGAAAAAGTTACAAAGTGTACAAGCATGTACAGAAATGTTGAGGAAATATATCCAGTATGTTAATTTAATATGGACTGAACATTAATTATTTTCTCCAGATAATCTAAGAGAACTTGCCAAAGAAAGAACAATATTATATACGTTATCTCTATACTTAAAAATCATCTGTCAAGTGTAAATGAAGCTTAGCCTTGTAAAATCCTTTGGAAAAGACAAAAAAGTGATCCTGTAAGTAGTGTATTATGATTTAATCAACAATACAATGTACAAGAGTACAATACATGGACTTATTTTAAGAATGTTAGAAATTGTAATAAAAAATAATAATCTTTCTTAAACATCTTAAATAAATTGAAAATATGTACCATGTTTCAAACATAAAATAAAATTATGAAAATTTTATTCTTGTAACTTTTAAATAATATAACACATGGTGCATGACAGAATGGATAAAAAATTATTAAAATTTTTCAATACCTTATAATTTCCTTCTATAACTTAAGCATAATGATAATTTAAGAAAAATATTTAGAAAAAGACATGCTGATATGCAATAAAACTGCATACATTTAATTTCTTAATAAATTTTACCTTAATTAAGGAACATTTGTATAACAGGAATCAAATTTTGAAAGATCAAAAGCAGTTGCATGTAACTAGGGAATTTTTATACAAGTTACATGTGCAAAAGGTATTTTCCATTTAAAACACAATTTCACAGAATATATGAAGTTTTATTACACACATAACTCTTCTTAAGAAGTGTACATGTAAGACACTTGAATAATTTTTCAAGAAATTACAAGATATCACACACAAAAAGTGAGATTTTCTCAGTGTGAATTCATAAGGGTTAAATTCAAAAAAGTGCAAATAAATCTGGGTAAACAAAGTGTTAGAGATTCTTTCATTCTTATAATCATGGGAGGCGAAGACTTCCTCCTTTCAGCTTCTGTGGGTGAAATACATTTCAGTATTGAACTCAGAATGTACTGAATTTTACAAACAGCATCCAAGATTACAGTATCCACACTTCATTTTAGGACTTGGATGCAAAAAAAGCTCCAAGAGTCAGGGCTCCCAGACCAGCAGCAACTCCACAAAACCTCTTAAAAACTGGCCAAGATGATTCATTCCTTTGCTCTTCTCGATTCTCTGTATATTCAACCAATCCATCCTGTGAGAAAAAAAAAATGTATTTTTTTTAGCATATCAAATGATTTGACATGTGGATATTAGAAGTTTGAAGTCCACATTTTTTTAAAATTCACATGTCCTCGAAGCAAAGAAGTTTTGATAAGTTGTGGTGTAAGATTTTAAAAGAACTGAAAAAAGATGGTTTAAAATGGGTCACTAAAAAAACACTGACAACAGAAAAACCATTTCCTTTAAACAAATATTTCATACAGTTTACTAAAACATCACAATGACAATGGAAAAAATATTTCCCTCAGACAGATATTTAATATAAGCCACTAAAAAACAAACTGAAAAGGAAAGTTAACATTTTCCTTGCCTGAAAATGTATTTCCAATAGCTACTTACCTCTTCACACACAATAGCTTGGAGTGTAATATCTGATGGCAGGGGCTCCATATGGGCACACCCATGGGAGGCTGCATCTCAACCAGGCAACCGAGTACCCATACACACCTGATCAGAAATCCAAGAAGTGTAGTGTGGTTAAGGCATGACCAGAATGTACATTGTTTGTCTCACCTTGACTCAACTGAAAAGACAAAGACAGGGGTGACAAACCCATCCTACTGTAGATGAAGGTCACACTAGCTGTTGAGAGACGACCCATAATACACAGACAGTGCCACCACCACCATATTGTGCTGTAAACAATCAGTGAGAAACTCTCCAAGGTCTACTACTACCCCAGCAGTTAGGAACTGTAAGTGGCAAGGATCTCCCATGCTCCACCTGATGAAGAGGAGTGGGGGAGAATTCACCTTGAGAAGATCCAGAGAACTGTCAGGATCCCCATTGGATGCCTACTGGAAAGGTCTTTTACTAGAGCAACGCAACAGGTGACTGCAAAATCCTATTTTTAAAAACCAGCAAGTGCAAGCCAAAGAGGTGGGAAGTCACTTCACTGGTGCCTGCTTTTTTCCATGACAGTCAATGGAATGATAAGGTCTGGAACGAGCAAATGAGTAATTCTAATATCACAAGCATAACTCTAATGGTCTTGTGAAACACCCCATCTCAACAGTGGGCACTAGTAGCACAAGGATGGATGGGTAAAGCACTTTGTTACCCTTGGCTTGATGCAGATTTTGGGAAATAAGCATACCCTAGAAGGCAACACCAGCCACCTGATGGGATCCCATAAAAAGAGAAAAGGGTTAGAGGAAAAAGAAAATGTAATTACCCTTCTCAAAGATGGTATGAAGTTGTATTGAAGAAATGAAATAGCCAGATAATGAACATAATGGGATATAAATGTGCAGATTTATCCACATGTTAGCCTGAAGGATCATGACCAAGGGTCAGTGAAAAATGAGACACAAAAGAATGAGATCGTTGATAAATCTGATGTGATGAAATGTGAAAGAACAATCACCTTCTTGAGTGGCCAAAGTCTTATGAAAAAAGGCCCATTCTGGATACATAGTAAAGAATATGGTGAAAGATAGTATGAGAAGCATCAATGGCACAAGCATCCGATTGACGGTGATTGCAGGCAAGGAAGAAAATAAAATAGGGAGATCCAGTCAGGGGGTAGCAAGGGAATGTCCACACCAAGACAAATCATCGTGGGGTGGGGATGCTAGTCCCCTCGCTTAATTGTGAGGCATAGTGATCAGCATGAATCTGAATATCAGGTGAGTGAGGAAAAATCAGAAAGGGTTGGGAAGATTGTTCATGCAATAAGGAAGGATGAGGTGCATAAGAAATAGGTGAACGGGATAAAATGTCACAAACTTGAGACACAAAATCCATAAAGCCTGCATTACGCCTAGTAGACTCATCAGATTAGGAATGGGAAGGAACGGTAAAATCTGGAGATAGAGAAAGACAATCAAAGTCCTCATCAGCATGTTCTGGAAGAGCTTGGGCGATGTCCGAGGACAAAGGTTGCCCCAAGCAACATACAGTCTCCCGGCTTATAAAAGCAGATAAATCCACTGTCCGGTCACCCCTAACCGAGGCCTGAGAAAAAACGCTGGTCTCTGGTGTAACTCACCATATGTGGTAACATTAACTTTGGAATTCATTGCACAGAAAGGTTCACCAAGTTCAAGTGCATAAAATAAGACGACTAGAATAACTGAATACTAATATAAGAAATAGGCTGAATGTAAACATATTAATTCAAAAAACAGCCACTTCATGAGGAAACAAAGTCGACTGTGAAGCATTAAACAAACAAAAGAGCATGTCCGAACACAAGCACTGCCAAACGAGAAGTGATAGCTCGGTAGTGTGGAGGGTATCATATGCATCACGTGAGTATGTCATGCTCCTATTGGTAAGTAGGTGATGCATGATGATTTGCATGAGAAACATGTTGGAATCTTGCAATTCAAATAGGGCAGAGCAGAAGGCATGCAACATGCATGATGAAAGATTTGGCATACAGAGGACAGCACTGAACGACAATAACTAATCTTGTGAGAAGAGGTAAGTACCGTATCAGAATTTATTTTTCATATTTCAAATGTTGAGGAATAAAAAAAGTTAAGAAACAAACTGTCATAAAAAAATTTAATTTAATATTGTAAATCACTAAAACATCAAAAATTATGATACCATTCAAAAGTCAAATCTAAAAATGGCTGAACTATAGCAATCTATTCATGATTTAACAAACAGTATTTTTAAAATGTACATGTTATATTTCTATTCGTGTCTTTCAAACTGTATTGTACCATTTACTAATTTGTCAACACCTACCTTGTACTCAACATTTGAGTCCCAACTCTGTTAAGACTTATTAATACAAATATTTTATGGACTAATATGACAAACAGGGGAGGAAGTTAGCAGCGAATGTGCTTTTCTGAGTTACACACATTCAATTATTTATGTGGGAATAAACAGCTATGATTAAATGAAGAAAATCCAATGTAACAAGAGCAGTACAATTCTAGCATTTGATGAATAACAAAAGAAAAACCTAAATATCATGTACAACATGTGGCAAAAATGATCTCATGTGTATGTATGTCCAGTAGGGCTAAGAACTAAGTTTTAAGTATTTCATCTTATTTTATAATAAACAGGATGAAGGCCTAATGATTTAACACAATGTGACTACAGCTACAGTAGATATTCTAAGCTTGTAACACAGAAACCTAAACTATTTAGGTGTTTTCAAAACCTTATATCAAATATGATTATATATTCTTATTGTGAGGTTATGTTAAGTACAAAATTAGGCTTATGATAAAGTAGGAATATGTATTTTTATAAAATGTTCTATATAGTTGGGCAAGTTCTTTTGCACCATTTAGTTAAAATAATGTATGATCTAGCTCATATAATGATAAATTAACTCTTCTATAATGTTTTCTGGATTCTGAAAGTCATGTCTCTGATCCTTTTCAGAACAACTCATAGGCTCTTCCTAGCACCCGCTTAACTTTAGAGCTCATCATTTCTTCAGGGGGGAGGGATTTTACAGCCATATTATATTACCTCAATAAAATCCAGACTTATCAGCATTAATATCATAGCAAACTTTTGTTTTGTTGCTAGCTGATTCAAGTCTTTCCTGGATAGTCATGCATGATATCCATGGTGCTCTGTAATCTCTATACATTTTGTATAAGGCTGTTCTGAGTGAATATTCTTCAGATAAAAGTACAAGTTGTTCAATGGTACATTTAATTCTCTCTCTCTCTCTCTCAGTCATCAGTGATGATAGTGTGATGCCTGTAGCTTCATTTACTGTAGTACAATAACTCTACAGTGGAAGATCTTGATTCCAAATTTTCTTATCTTTATCCACATATATGGATAATTGATTTATGTGCAGTTGTAACTCTCCAACATATCAGAAAACAGATGAAGGCCAATGATCTGACACATTTCCAGAAACAAGGCTATTTTAAAGTTCTATAGGCACACGATATCTTGAATCAAATTTGTGAATAAGTTTCCTTCCTAGAGTTCCTGATTCCTGGTTAGAAACAGCATAAGATAATCCATCATAACAATAATGTATTTATTTCCACAGTTACTCTATAGCAGAGGAACCAGCACATCAACAGCAACTCTTTCAAGTGGTGCTGTAACACAACACTGCTGTAGCTGTCCATGCTGTTACCTTCAAGGGCCCTTTTCACTAATTCTTTATAGATCCCCAACACCCAAAACAATAGAATTACTCTTATACTCTCTGTAGTGTTGTCCAGCCAAAGGAAGGTTACGAAGTGCTACGTAATGTAGACTGTGGAAGTACGAATTGCAACAGTTGCTTCTATTCATTAGTATCTACCAGTTTTCAACATAAGCCCTCTCGTAGGCATAATAAATTACACTGTTTCCAATGCATCTTTGTCTTTGAGCTGTATGGAGCAACTGTTTGCCATAAGGGTCTTTCTGCATTATTTTGCTCCACCGAATAATTGGTTGCAAATTTGCATCCTTTGCCCAAACATCTTTTAAATGAGTGTTGGACTACACCACTTGTGTATATCACAACTTGGATTATAATATGCTATACTTTAAACTTGTAGTCTTTACTGTCTTGTGCTTGCCTCTTTTCACAGTGTTTACATTCTTTATCAACACATGGTCTTCGGGATAATGCATAATGTTAAAGGTGTACTCCTGAAGTTTTGGAAGCCATTTTGCTCAATATTGCTTCCAACTTTATTCTCATCCCATGATAGTTCCATGGCGGGGTTCCAAATCACACCTTACAAATATAATCCTACTCGTACTTTTCTTGCATAATTCATTGATGCAAAAAGCCAATATTTCGGTCTAAAAAGTTCTTTTTCAAGACTTGTCGAGACTATATCTCATATATTTTGCCTACAGAGCTTTCAGTTGGGTGTTGGACCACATCTTGGAATATACTTTGCTGTACTTTAGGTTGGTCATTTTTTCTATCCAGTGCTTCCCTCTTCTCACAGTGTTCACACTCTTCTTTAACACACACAGTCTCCAGTATAATGCATCAGCATTTCCATGACTCTCCTTATGCCAATGTACAAG